GAAGTATTTCTCGTGTTGGTCTTTTTTTTCCACGGGAATTAACGAAACCAACCACAAATGAAACTGGTAGCAAGAGAACTCGCAAAGTAGAAGGTGAGGGTAGAACGAAGGGAGTTCTTTCAGCATCGCTCTCGAATTACTACACAGAGGAGCCATGCTTAGAACCTTTTTTTTAAATACAATACACAAGTCGAACAAATGAAGAAATGTCGAACACAAATCGCTTGTCATACGATTAATCGTCTTGATCCCCTACACTAATTCAAGAAACTCTGAATGCAAGAAAATTTCACGGAAGTTTAAATGAAGATGCAGAAAAATTGAGGAAAGGTCGAAAAATGACAGATGCTCTAGTAAAAAGGGGAAAAAACGTTGCTGCTTTATAACAATTTTTTATTTGCACCGCGCTAAGCGTAGGGCATACTCATCATCGCCGACCGAACAGGAATCGCCTTTCTGTGAACGTAGCTCATTCTTTTAAAATTTGAATAAACGCGGCATACAAAGTAATGCAGTTGTTGACGTCTTCTGCTTTACCTCTATGCGAGGTTGGTATAGATGTTTTTTGGCGGCTGACGTTTCAGCGGGATCGCCTAGCCGTAACTCAGTCCGATCCTCGAGACCAGCCAGCAGCCAGCAATTCAGTTAACAGTCCGGTCTGAACATAACTCGGCTGTATCACGATCAGTTCGGGCTGTCAGTTGTGCTCGAGGAACGGAGTGAGTTACGGCTCTAAAGGAGGCGATTTCGCCGAAACGTCAGCCGTCAGTAGACATCTATACTAACCTCGCGTAGAGTCTAACCAGAAGAAGTCAACGGCTGCAATGTTGAGGTTTATGGAAAACAGTTCATGACAAAGTAATGCTTTGATCGCTGGATTTTAAAAGCGATGTTAAGGGCCGGAGGTAAGTTAAAGGCAAAGTTCGGGCTCGGACCCACCTAATAAGCCCTTAAGGAATCTTCCACGGAAAAAGCTCCGCCCTCATTACCACAGAAAACGATACCTTAAAGGAATCTTCCACGGAAAGAGTGATCATTTTGTCTTGTGTGTAGGATTAGTATTATCGAAACTAACGCTTATGTTCCGTTCTTTTTGCTATGCTCATGAGGCTAGGGGCCTAAGGGGTATCGTTTTTCTGTGGTAATGGAGGCGGAGCTTTTTCCGCGGAAGATTCCTTTAAG